GGGAGGCAGCTTAGCGGGAGGGGGGAGGGGCAGAGTCCCCGGCAGGTACGACCCCCACCCCCAGGGGTATTCAGGGAGGGGGGGCCGCCCGTAGCTGCCCCCCCCCAAAAGCGCCGGAGCCTTCGAGTACCCCGAGAGACCTGCGGGAAGTGGGGAGGGGGCTTCAGGGGAGCGGCCCGGGCTCCTTTGGCGGGGGAGGGGGGAATCATTCAGTTGAGATGCGGTGTCCCCCCCGGTGGGTTTGGGATGTCCCCGGTTGTAGATTTGGGCACCCACATTGGATTTGATGGGGGCTCTTTTGGGGGTCCCTGCCCCATTTTAGGCGTCCTATTCCTGTCCGGGGGTCCCTGCTCTGATCTGAGAGTCCCTGCCCGTTTTTGGGGCCCCTGTTTGGGGGGTTCTATTCCACCTGGGAATTCCGTTCCCGGGAGTCCCTGCCGTGTTTCAGGCTCCCTGTCCCAGGGGTCCCTGCCCCATTTTGAGGGTCCCATTCCCGTCCACAGGTACCTGCTCTGATCTGGGACTCCATGCTCTGTTTTGTGGTCCCATTCTCGGGGTCCCCGCCCGTATGGGGGTCCCTGTTTTGGGGGTCCCATTCCCGTTTCAGGATCCCATTCCCAGTGTCTCCCCCCCGTTTCGGGGGTCGCGCAGCCCCCCCTCACCGGAGCCCAGGAAGGGCATGGCCGCCTCCAGCCGCAGCTTCTCGGCCTCGGCGGATCTCTCGAAGAGGGAGGGGCGGCCCTGGGGATCGGCGGGGCGGGGGGCGCAGAACAGCGACTGCAGCGTCTGGGGGCGGTAATTTGGAGAGGGGGCCATGGGGCACCCTCCCTGTGCCCCCCGGTACCTCGGGGGCGCCTCTGACTGAAGCCCCCTCCCCAGTTCTCCCCCATATCTCACTCAGAATCCCCCCGCCCCCACGGTTTCACCCCAATACCTCGTGGGTGCGTCTGACTGGAGATACCTCCCCAATTTCCCCCCGTATCTTAGAGATGACTCACAACAAAGACCCCTTCCCAATTTCTTCCCGGTGCTTTGGGGCCTGTGAAGACCCCCTTTCCCCCGGTAACTCGGGGGTAGGTCTGTCTGAAGCCCCCTCCCCAATTCCCCTCCCGTGTCCCACTCAGAGCCCCCGCAGTTACTCCCAGCACCGAGGGGGCCAAGCCCCCTCCACTCTTTTTCCCCCGCCGTACCTCGGGGGTGATGGGGGAGCACTCGGGACCGGGAGTGGCGGCGGGGCAGGGCCCGGGGGTCAGCAGGAGCGGAGCCCCCCCCCCTAATTCCAGGAGCGGGTAATTCACCAGCACCACCTTGCTGAAGTTGAACTTGTAGGTGAAGCGCTTGCCCTTGGTCTTGTGCAGGATCCGCTTGTTGTAGTAATACCTGGGGAGGGGGCGCAGCCTCGCTGGGACACCCGCCACACCCCCAGAACCGCCCAGTGTCCGCAGCGGCAATTCCCAGGACGCGCAGTACCGTCGATACTGTGAGACCCTCGATGCACCCCGGACCTGTCAAAGCCCCCCGGGACCCCCGGGAGCCCCTGCGGGACCTCACAGAGCACCCCAAGCCCTCCACAGTGTCCCCCAGGATCCTCTGCGGGTCCCGGGATCGCTCTGGGGGTCCCCGGGGTGTGGATTTCGGTGTCCCCCGACCCGAGGGCGTGGCCGAGACTGTCCCGGTTCGTATGGGGCTGCGTCTCTGGGGTCCCGGTGGTGGCTTGGGGGTCCCGGGATGGTTCCGGGAGTCCTCGGTACGGGATTAAGGAGCCCCCCTGACCTGAGGGCGCGGCTGAGCTTGTCGTAGTTCATGTGGGGCTTGCACTTGCGCACCCCCCACAGCCGGGCCACCTCGTCGGGGTCCTTGATGACGAACTCGCCGTAGTCGCCCTGCCAGGCGATGACCTCGCGGTACTGCTCCTGCCGCAGCAGCTCCAGGATGAAGTGCCAGAGCTGAATCTGCCGCGAGCCGGGGCTCGACTCCGCCTTGTACGCCCACTCTGGGAACGCGAACCCTGCATTGGGGACATTGGGGACAGCGGGGACATCGTCACTGTGACATTGGTGACTCCGCCTTGTACGCCCACTCTGGGAACGCGAACCCTGCGGGGACAGCGGGGAGCACCACCTAGATCCCGTGGCGGCAGGATTTGGGGGCTGCAGGTGCGTCCCCAGGTGTGTCCCCTCCATGTCCATGCCCCTGAGGGGGTATCCGTGTGCCGCAGTTGTGTCCGTGACCCTGGCAGGGTCCCCCGGCTGTGTCCCAGGTGTGTCCCCTGCCCGCTCGGGGGTCCCGAGGGGTACCTGGGGTCCAGAGCGCTGGCACCGGGGCCGTGAGGAGCAGGTCGGACACACAGGTACAGTCCATGGCGAGGGGGTCACACCTGCGGGGAGGGGGATTCAGGGGTTATGGGGGCATTTCAGAGGGTTTGGGGTAGATTTGGGGCTCCGGAGAGGGATTTCAAGGTGTGTTTGGGAGTGAGTTTAGGGGTGCAGAGCGGGACTTCAGGGGCAGTGGAGGAGATTTAGGGATAAGCTGGGCACAGTGAGGGGCGGGGGGTGATTTGGGGGGGGGATTTACAGACACTGGGGCAGATTTAGGGGCACAGGGGAGTTTGGGGAAGGATTTATGGACACGGGGAACTTTAAGGGCAGGAGGATGAATTTGGCAGCATCTTTAGGGGCACAGGAGGGATTTAAGAGCATGGAGTCCGATTTAGGGGAATTTACGGATATAGGGGCACCTTTAGGGGCACGAAGGGGGTATTTAGGGGCAGATTTCAAAACCGAGGGCAGATTTAGGAGCCGGGGGCAGATTTAGGGGCACGGGGATGGGATTTAGGGAGGATTTATGGACATCGGGGCAATTTTAGGGGTACATTCAGGGACACAGGGAGGGATTTCGGGCTGCGGCCGCGCTT